ACACATACTTCAGGATGCCCTGAATACGACACATTAAAGCAAACTATTTGGTCTAGCTAGAATCCATCCATCCATTTAGGAAAAACAAAACCAAAAATCGTCCACGACCAACCTACTACATTCATTATCGGCTATAATTGTGGTCTAGTTTCTTTGTGCCAATATTGGCTAACAGATAATAATTGCTCCAACATTAGTGGCTTGGACTGGTACTCTACTACCTAGTGAGCGTGTTTAGGGAGTAGGGTGGTATGCAATATACACACACATTTATAGACATAAATGTACAATTACCTATATATATATACTTGTACATGTATGTCTTTATGTGTGTGTGGGTGGCTGAAGTTCTGGTATCTGCGTCGTCTCTGGGATCTCTCTCTCTCTCTTTCTCTCTCTCTTTCTCTCTCTCTCTCTCTCTCTCTCTCTCTCTCTCTCTCTCTCTCTCTCTATGTCTGTCTGTCTTTGTACCCCACCAGGACATCACAGAAGCGATAAACACCCGGTGACACAAAGTGCCACCATGTGGATGAGGATCACCCATGAGAAGTCCAAGAAGCAGGAAAGCAAACTTCACGGATCAATAAGTGGACTGTTTTATGATGACAAAGTAGATAGTGAAATTCATGCAAAAGATAATACCAGATAATAATGCACATAAAGACAATATATTTATCAGTTTAACAAAAAAATAGAAGAAGAAGAAGTTACTTTCACCTTTCCTTCCCATTCGTAGACCTACAACAGAAAATGAAAGCAATCATCTCTGCAGGTTAATGGACTATTAATAAGGCTTTTTTCCCAGAAATGTTTCAATTTGTTCAGTTTCTCACTTGCTTATCTGAAAGTGACCACCTTGCTTATCTTCCCTCACCAAATGTCTTAAGTATAATTTTTTTTTTTCAAAGTGTTTTGAAGGTAAATAAACAGATAAGAATTTATGAAGTTCCCGAGTGCAAGCATAATTTCTCAGTCACGAGTGTTGAATTGTGTTGTTCCAGAAGTGTAAACCGAACTGACGTCATGTGTAATCAAACACGTTTTAGATACATACGTCTGCAGTAGAAACTTGGTACAGAAGGTCATGTTCATTGTAACCTTCAAGCGACAACCCTCAAGTGTTTGAAGCGCAGTAAAGGTCTTTCAGTGACATTATCTAGAGCGAGGTAAGGATCGTTCAGTGACAGGTGTTTGGTCAGGCTATTTCATTGCAGGTGTTTAGAGAACTATAATGATAGTTCAGTGACGGGTGTCGTGAGTACGGTAAGGATCTAATGCAAAGTAAGGACCTTTACAACAGATGTTGAGCACGGTAGGATTCTTTCAGTGACCGGTGCCTAGAGCACGCTAAGAATGTTTCAGTGGCAGGTGTCTAGATCAAGTTAAGGATCTTTTACAACAGGTATGCCGAGCACGGTTTTGGATCTTTAACAGGTTTCTAGAGCAAGGTGATCTTTCAGTGACAGATGTATATAACAAAGTTAGGATCTCTAAGTAACAGGTATTTTGAGATCTCTAAGGATCTTTCGTTGACAGGTGTCTAGAGCACGGTAGTGATCTTTCAATGACAGGTGTCTAGAGCACGGTAGTGATCTTTCAGTGACAGGTGTCTAGAGCAAGGCTAGGGCTTTTCAGTGGCAGGTGTGTAGAGTAGAGCACGGCAATAATCTTTCAGTGACAGGTATTTAGAGATCTCTAGCGATCTTTCGGTGAAGTTATAGGCATCTAGAGTTGGAAATTTTTATTGACTGGTGTTTATAGCACTGTGAGAATCTTAAGGGACAGGTGTCTAAAGTTTGGTAGTAATATTTCAGTGACGGGTGTCTAAAACGCTATAAAGATCTTTCACTGACTGGTGTCTACAGTCCTGCAAAAATGTTTCAGTGTCTAGTGTCCAAGCCCCATCCAAGGTCAACTCATCCTATTTAACACTGGTACTATGAAATACCGTGGGAAATTAAGGTGATCGGAGTGATGCTGACCATTTCACGCACCGAGTGCCGACTGGTCTACAAAATTCGTGTCTAGCACCACATACTGGATGGACCAATGGCAAGAGAATGGTTTATCGCTTTACTTTACTTACTTTATTTATAAATGACTCGGTGTAGCTATAAACAACTCTAATATCTGATATTCAGATCACTTTATCAAGAAAGGCGACTAATTAGGACTTTTTCTCAGAAGTCGGAGCGCATCTGCTGAGAGATGAGAAACCGACAGTCCGCTTACAGCTAAGCAGATATGTAAAACAAATGTGCCCACAAAATTCAAGCTCTAGAACAAAACAAAAGCCCAGACGTCGAGAAACCACCAGAACTTTTGGCCTGATTTTCCAGCCGGTGAACGTCCCAAAAAATATATTATAAAACTGACGAGGAAGTGTTAATGTCTGGCATATTTGCGGTGTAAAGTAAGTTGCGTATCCTATGCAGGACGTTGAAGAACCAGCTCTGGCATTTTTTTTTGGCTGTCGTTTTTCTAGACAAATTTACGTCCAGTAGTTTGCCATTGCTTGTGGACGGTCGGTTTCTCAATACCACTGTCGAAACCAAGGCAAGGCGCAAGGCTCGCAGCTGGGATCGAACCCGACACCCCGGCATTACAAAGCGCGTACGCAACGCCTAAACCACAGAAGCCAACTTGGTGTGTATAGGGTTAGCTGCGTATCCTTTACAGGACGTTGCAGAACCAACCCCAACAGCCCCTGGCTGTTGTGTGGTTTTTCTAGGCAAATTTACGTTCAGTAGTTTGCCATTGCTTTCTGGACGCTCCGCTTTCTTGATACCACTGTCGAAACCAACGCAAGGCGCATGGCCCGCAGCTGGGATCGATCCCGGCATCCCGGCATATCGAAGCGTTCGCATCGACTTAGCCACAGAGCCAACTTAGTGTGTATAGACTGCAAATATGCGAATCTGCGAAAATAGAGTATATACAAAGAACTATTTCAATGACATTAAGCCTTCAACACAACAGAACGCGGTCACGCATGTCTGTGTTGGAAGGGTGCCTAACATGTGAACATTCTTTCAGCCATGTTCTTCTCGGTGTGAATACATAAAGTAATACCCGCCACTCGGCTGTAAGGTTATAAGCAAATATGTGGAAATAGCCAGTCTGTTTTTAAACATCTAGGCTCTACAGGGTCATCTACTGGAGGCCGTAAAGTAAGTAAAAAGTAAATGCTCCTTTTCGGTTCTTAGCTAAATTGGACACGTTATACTAGTCTAATATTGAGCAATGAATGTCCTGTTCATTCATTTTCTTGTTGTGCCATTATATGTCACATAGGGATCGCACTCTGCTCCTATATTACATTCTATCCTGTGCGATCAGTTCAATATCATGGATGGAAACCAATCCAGTAGCTTTGGTATCTCTCAACAACGTTTGTTTTAAGGTTTCTTTTGGACGTCCTCACCTACTTATTCCCATCATTTCTCATTTTAAGTCCTGTTTGGTGATTCTCTGCTGGTTTCTTCCCCAGGATGTGTCCAATGTAGCGCCATCTTCTCAGTCTTATTATAACTGCTGATACTAGTGACTGCCCTGATATTTTTTTTTTTTTTTTTTTTCGCTCTTTTTTAATTCATCCCATTTTAATATCATAATTTTTCTCAGACATTTGTTTTCGTATACATTTCATTTTCGTTCCATGTTTTTAGTAGTTCTCCAACTTTCACTGGAGTATGTTACAATTGAAAAAAAAAAAAAAGCCAAAAAAACATTAGAACTGAAAATACTAACTTAGTTTTAAAACTTTACAGAGTTCCATATTTTGCTCAAGCCGTTAAAAGCTGTTGGTGCCTTACCAGTGCGTGTCATAAGATCTTTCTTAGTATTTTTATAGATGTTCTTTATTTCTTAAATAATTTAATTAGTAAGACAGGCAAAAAGCTTGCCTGTCGGCGCAAAGATCTTGGGTTCGAATTGATATCAAGTATTGTACCTTGGCTGCAGAGTCGACTCAGTCAAAAATGGGCATCAGAAAATGTCATGGGAAATAAAAGAGACAGACATGAGCTTCACGACATTATCCACCGATCTGGGCCCACCTTCACACACCCGACTCGCCATTAATGTTGAAAGAGTCCTTTACCTTATTTGGGTTCTTTTCTGTTATTTCACAACATCACACCGGTTTCGAGATTTGGTAGGGAAATCCCCCAGACCGACCCATAGGAGAAAGGGGTTTAGAGTTAGGCTTAGTGGTAGTCGCTAATCATTTAACACTAGCACTAACCCAAAACCTGCTGTTCCCAGATACTAAAAGTCAGATGCCTGTTAACGCCTTTGCTCTCTACTTATGTGCTTAGTTTCTGCGTCCTTCTTCGTAATAACATTACTTCTGTCTTTTCAGTGTTGATTCGCATTTTTATATTTGCACATTCTTCATTCATAGATATTAGAAGATGTTCTGGTTCTGCAACGTCCTGTAATCTATACGCAACTAAAAGTTTACTATTCTATTTCTATAGTCTATAAATAGACAGCCAGTGATTTCTGGAGAAAAAAAAAGAGTAGACCTTAAAATTTTGAGAAAATGTTGGCCACCAGGGCTTTTTATTAATAACCCCCGCCCCCCCCCCTTTCCCACCCCGCCCCCAACAGCATATTTTTATGGCATCATTTTTGTATGCTTCTCTAATAGATATTTTGTTGTGGGTAAACCAGCTCATCTTTAGATATTTTTTTTATGAGTACCGGCACTTTTTCACTAACAAGAAATACAAATCCTACACGAATGTGTTCTGCATATTATTTCAGTGTTCTCAAGCTTTCTCTAGCAGGTGATTGTTGACCCCCTACCCCCGCCCCCCCCCCTCCCCCGTTTTCGGTATTCCCCGCACTCCTACCCACACACACACACTCATTCACCCACACATTGACCTCACAATTATCTTTATTATTATTATTATTTATTTATTTATCTTTTGCAGACATAAAGAGAGTAACAATTGCTGCTTGATCCCGGTGTGTTCTACCTTCAAGAGGCCATGGCTAAATGGAACTTAGCTTTCGCCTTGCTAGTTCTAGCTACGGTGACAGCAAAGTACAGCGTTGGATGTAAACGGACGGGGTAAGTTGCCTTGCTAGTTCTAGCTACGGTGACAGCAAAGTACAGCGTTGGATGTAAACGGATGGGGTAAGTTGTCTTGCTAGTTTTAGCTACAGTGACAGCAAACTACAGCGTTGGATGTAAACGGACGGGGTAAGTTGTCTTGCTAGTTTCAGCTACAGTGACAGCAAAGTACAGCGTTGGATGTAAACGGACGGGGTAAGTTGTCTTGCTAGTTTTAGCTACAGTGACAGCAAAGTACAGCGTTGGATGTAAACGGACGGGGTAAGTTGTCTTGCTAGTTTTAGCTACAGTGACAGCAAAGTACAGCGTTGGATGTAAACGGACGGGGTAAGTTGTCTTGCTAGTTTCAGCTACAGTGACAGCAAAGTACAGCGTTGGATGTAAACGGACGGGGTAAGTTGTCTTGCTAGTTTTAGCTACAGTGACAGCAAAGTACAGCGTTGGATGTAAACGGACGGGGTAAGTTGTCTTGCTAGTTTTAGCTACAGTGACAGCAAACTACAGCGTTGGATGTAAACGGACAGGGTAAGTTGTCTTGCAAGTTTTAGCTACAGTGACAGCAAAGTACAACGTTGGATGTAAACGGACGGGGTAAGTTGTTTTGCTAGTTTTAGCTACAGTGACAGCAAAGTACAGCGTTGGACGTGAACGGACGGGGTAAGTTGTCTTGCTAGTTTTAGCTACAGTGACAGCAAAGTACAGCGTTGGATGTAAACGGACAGGGTAAGTTGTCTTGCAAGTTTTAGCTACAGTGACAGCAAAGTACAGCGTTGGATGTAAACGGACGGGGTAAGTTGTCTTGCCAGTTTTAGCTACAGTGACAGCAAACTACAGAGTTAGATGTAAACGGACCGGGTAAGTTGTCTTGCTAGTTTTAGCTACGGTGACAGCAAAGTACAGCGTTGGATGTAAACGGACGGGGTAAGTTGTCTTGCAAGTTCTAGCTACGGTGACAGCAAAGTACAGCGTTGGATGTAAACGGACGGGGTAAGTTGTCTTGCTAGTTTTAGCTACAGTGACAGAAAAGTACAGTGTTGGATGTTAGCGGACAGGGTGAGTGCATCGCAGGTCCAGTGAGTTTCATGTTGAACTCTATCAGTCCTGAACGATTCACCTTGTGTGGATTCGCTCATGTGCACCATTTAACATATTATAATGATTGTGCATTTCGTGTTTAGTCGGAGCTTACTAAAATAGAAAATAACACAGTTTTCTCTAACAATGGGTGAGTGTTTGGACCCGTTGGATGCAGTGCTGTGATTATTTTGTTGATTTCCAAATTGACTGCTTTGGGGCATCGTTTATGTCGTTCCGAGATGGAGAAAGATAAAGTCGAGATGATCGACTTCGTTGCACCGAGTTTTATCTAATATGTCTCTGTCTCTCTCTGTCTCTCTCTCTCTCTGTCTCTCTCTTTGTCTCTCTCTGTCTCTCTCTGTCTCTCTCTCTCTGTCTCTCTCTCTTTGTCTCTTTGTCTCTCTCTCTCCCTCTCTCTGTCTCTCTCTGTCTCCCTCTTTGTCTCTCTCTCTGTCTCTCTCTGTCTCTCTCTGTCTCTCTCTCTCTGTCTCTCTCTGTTTCTCTCTCTCTCTCTCCTCTCTCTCTCTCTCTCTCTCTCTCTCTCTCTCTCTCTACTAAATAGCTAGCTACCTGCCTAAAGTGTCGCACAAAATACGAACTCCAGCGCCCTCCACAGGTATCTCGATAACAACTTGCAAATCGAAAAAACACAGTGGCTGAACCGAACATTCGATGTACAGGGCATAAGCGAACGGCTTTGCCATGGAAAACAGGCAGGCCGCGTAAGCAGACAGGCTAGGATCTTATGTTCTAATCAAAACTAACTAAAAGGCACAATTTATGAGAACAAGAAAAAAATAAAATAGGCAATGTCATCGTTACTGAAGACTCAGAACACATGGTCATGCAGCTAGAAGAGTCTGTTGACAAAAACAAAACAGAAAGAAACACTTCCAACATAAAACTAACGCTAGCAAGTCATTAATTCGTCGGTACTACGTTAAAATCAATGCAATTTTGGTGATTTTCAGGTAAATTCGTTTTAAGGGCTGTATATTTCACTTTAAAATACACCAAAAGCATGCATCTGAATTCCTGCTCTAAACAAGACAAAAGGAAGTATTAGTTTTCACGCAACAACATAACTGATTTTTGTCACTTTACCAAAGTTAAATGTTTAAATGGAATTTTCTCGAAACACGGACACAGCGCTTAGGCGTTGGTTGAAAATAAAGAGAAAAGAGGGGTGGGGCGTGGTGTAGTGAAAGAAGTGAGTGCCAACGAAGAACCTAGAGTGACAACAACAAGATATTGACTGGACTAAATTATTATAAACCTGTTTAACAAGCGGAAGATGGCGGGTTTTGTTTGCTGGTGCTTTCATTGATACATCTCCACGATCCTAACGGGTCAAGGGTTATTTTATGATTTGTAACAATGTGAATCATGAACCGATTACATCGTAATATGTCTCTCCGCAGAAGTGAATGTCCGGTATTTGGACAACCTTCTTCTTCCTCTTCCATCTATCTGTCATAAAATCTATACCAGGAGGCGTTGAAGAAAGCTATCGTGCAGTCTATAGCTTCCCGCGTACCATAAAGCGTTGTCTTCATTGTGATTGGTTCAGATCAAACCATGTCTCTGTTGGCAGCATACAGTTGACAGTCTTGGAGTACATGCTCAATATTTTCTGGTGCCAAACTACAGGGACACGTCTTCGTGTTTCTTTCACCGAAAAACATATGTTGGTGAAGTTTTTGTGTGTTCTGTCCTTAGTTTGAATATGACACACTGACCCACACGACCAGAGTCTTGACATCGGTATCCGGCCATCTTTCTGGATATTAGTTTCTATTAATTTCTTAGTTTCTTAATGTTATAAATCACAGATTGATTTCACAATGGCAGTGCCGTTTCTGGCCTTGGATAATCTAAGAGTTTACAAGCTTCAAGAAGGAAAGGACAGCGCCTCAACCTACACTCTGTGTGGACAATAAACACTTGCGTGCCGATCGGAAGATTAAAGTTTTACTCGGATCGATGCGATTAGTTTGAAGTGCTAAGGCTTCTTGACCGGTACGTCATCACTCAGGTTTCCAGAGGATTGCAGAGTCCTCAAACCACCATTCAGTTATCTAGGAGGTCTTCTGTTCTACTACGGTATAAAGATGTGTGCAAGCAGAACATGAATGATACAGGTATTGAGGTAGACTCATAGGAACAAAATACAATGGACAATATTGTGTGCAGGGGGCATGTCAGGAAGGGCATGAGAGTGAAGAAAGAAATGATTGCAGAAAGGATGAGAGATGAGCGTCTGAAAAAAAAAAAACGGATTAAACACATACAGTGACATCAACGGTCCTGAAATCTCATGCCATCATTGTGGAAGTCTTTTCTTGACACGGGCGGGTCTTGCTAGTCACACTCGCCATCGCCATGAGCTGTGAATCCAGTGCCTCCTCATGTTGCAAGATAACACATCGTCTGGAAAGACGGAAAGGTGCCAATCAATCTTCTGTTCCTCCTGTAACCTCAGATAATTGTGGCGGGCGGGGGAGGGGAGGGGATATAAAGAATCACCTCTTTACTCTTTCCAATGTTTTGTTTAAGCTGATTCTTCATTTCCTTAAGGTTATTCTTTGTGTAAACCTTTTCATTGTCTCCCCCATGCACTTAATAACATTTTAGTTATCATATTACCAGTCGTACCCTTGTGGAATGCAATTTTTTTTTTTTTTTGGGGGGGGGGGGGGGGAGCCCTACCTTGGCTTTTGCCAGGGGCCCTAAATATAGCCGGACCATAAATCTGGCCTAGCAGCTGAACGGGGTGATCCTCATACGAAGTGTGTGACACTTTATGTCACCGGGTGTTTATCGCTTGTGTGATGTCCTGGTGGGGTACAACTTACCCACTTTACCTACCTACCCCTTGCACTGTCTTCGCTATATTTCTTCAACGCGGCATTCTGTGTAATTTTTTTTTACAAGGCAACGAATAAGAAGAAGAAAAACATAGAGTACACCGTGTGTTGTTCTTATTTGTCTTTTCCAGCTCCGCACCTGGTTCTGATCCCAACACTCGTGACGCCGATGCTAAGATCTACGCGTGTGGTATCTGCGGACAGCCAATCACAGTCACATTGATCGTCACAAATAAGTTTGTGGAGCCGACCTTTGAACTCAACATCACCGTCAGCAACAAACCACAGAGGGAGCTGATTTACTTCCTGGAGGCAGCTTCAGTACAAAACCCAAAGTTCAGGTAGTTTACACATGTTCATAAAATTAAATAAGTAAATCTTTTCTACTGGATACTGATTTAAGAATCGACATCATAGCACACTGGGTATACCAACAGGTGATCCGTCTCCCGCAGCAAATGGCTTAAGGTGTAGACGCTAATTGCTCTCGTGACACACTGATTATAAACTTGTCGTTCTCTTCCTCTCATACGTCTTTCCTTGCCAGATCAATATGTAATTCCTTGTTCACACATTTTGTTCTACAATTTAGACGGACGAACTAACTAACGTTTTTTTTTTCAAAGGGTTTCAAATCTGGCACGCAGGCCTGTCTTACTTTTAGCCCTTTCAAGCACTCCTCTCACACCTCAAACTGTGTTCCGTCTAAAAACATGTTATCTTACAGCACATTTTGTGACTGTTGTGGTTTTTCTAGGCAAACTTACGTCCAGTAGTTTGCCATTACTTTCTCGATACCACTGTCGAAACCAACGCAAGACCCGCAGCTGGAATCGAAACCGGCACCCCAGCATTACAAAGCGTGTTCGCAACGCCTAAGCCACATATAATACAGCTCTTATCATCAAGAGCAAGTTAAAAACACACAATGCATGCATGGTAAATAAGCACACTGAAATATACATACGCATTTAGACATACATAAATATTATTTCATATATCACATCTACATCATTTGACTGTGAATGTTTTGCTTTCCATGTTCCCTAGCCATCCAGTCTTTTTCGTGAAGTTGACAATTTTCTCCTGTTTTTTTTTTTAAGTTGTTTGATATATCCCATTCCGAGACATCACAAACCGAATAAGAATTATATAACCATCATGTAGTTTTACAATGCAATTTGTTCGGTAGTTTGTCATTGCTTCTAAGCGTTTCGATGCTCATACCGTTGCCAAAGTAAACGTGAAGCGCCTACCATAGTGCGTCAGAATTATAACCCTGCGTTTATAACTTATAAGCACCAGACACCAACCATAAAAGTTAAATTTCTTCATATGCACACGCATTCATATACATGTAAATAAAAGAGGGACCATTTGGTACCCTTACAAATTCGGTGGACTTTAAACCACTCTAACCCCCACCTAACCGCCCCCTCCAAAAACACTACGTGGGGGGGGGGGGGGGGGGGGGTTTCAGTCCCACATATTTTGGCGCTTATTGAAACTGTGAACTGTGAATTTTTTTTGTCTTTTCTACTTATTTTCTATCCTCCAGGAATGCCTCGCGGGGTCAGAGCATAAAGAGATCCCTAGAACGGGCCCTTCGGTTCGCTTCGTATATAGCACTTTTCAGTGTCTCTGATATTTCTGCGGTCCATATTCTGCGTGGTCGACCTCTGGCTCTGTTACAGCTATATCTGTATAACATTGCTCTCTGTGGTGCCTTGTCTGCTGCCAATAATGTTACATGGCCAAACCATTTGATTTGTTGTCCACCTATAAAGTTCAGTATTGGTTCTGTGTCGATTCTCCTCCTGATATCATCGTACCTAAGTTGATCTTTCCTCGTTACACATAGCATAGACATCATCAGGACATCCACCAAGATATAAACACCCTTTGACACAAAGTTATGAGGATCACCCGGGGAGAGGTTCCAAAAAACCCCGTTCAACCTTTATGTTATATTAGGGCCCCTGACTACAGCCGGGTGGTGCTTTAAAACAACGAAAAATTACGACCCATATTTAGACGAATATATAATTATGTGACACTTTAGGGTAACAGTTGTAAAGATCCCAGCCAATTCCTTACCCCTGTACACGGCCCGGTTGTTATTAAGGTGAATTTACAACCATATTTGCAGGTTTACCGCCGAGCACTACGGTACCCTGGGCTATATGATCACCAAAATCAACGGTCTGGCAGCCTCTGTCAGTGACCAAACTTACTGGCAGTTTCTGGAACACCCCAGCGGCAACAGCCTGCAACTGGGTAATCTACAGAAGACATGTTTTGTGTGTGTGTGTGTGTGTGTGTGTGTGTGTGGCCGTGTGTGGTCATTAGTCGCATACAAACACTCTCTCTCTCTCTCTCTCTGTCACTCTCTCTGTCTCTCTCTCACACACACACACATACCCAAACACACATACAGAGAGAGAGAGAGAGAGAGAGAGAGAGAGAGAGAGAGAGAGAGAGAGAGAGAGAGAAAGTCCACATATCTTAAATTACACATTAAATCATACAGCTCCTAAGTCCTTGGATCTTCTCTTCAGTGCACGCTTCCTTGTACAACCTGTTGCATCTGACAGCACCAGATTTGTATGTGTTTACGTATGTCTTATATATGGGTGGCTATATAATTTAGCCATAAATCTCCTTCCACTAACAAGTACGGGACTAGGAATTATGACAACTTGAGGCCCTTTCCGTTCTGGTTCAAGCACTAGCACACGTTTACTAAGAACACCAGCACCTACCTAAATAAAATTATAATAAATCATTCAAAGTATGATCGCATCGTGCAGATATGGACGAACACATTGATGCGGGATCTGCTGATCAATGAATAACTCTGTTAGTCTACTATTTCTGCTAACTACACACACTGGCATTTTCCAGAACACGGACAGACAACAATATACTCCTCACGCTATGCTTAGATGATTGGTACTGGCAACACCCATCCGATCACATGCATCCATATTTCGTGATGACACTGACCGTTCTTTGACTGTCCTCTATACAAGAGAACCCACCAGCTGGTGACTTTAGCTACCTGCAGCAAATCTCGCGAAGAAATTCTATAACGCTGTCAGGTACATTGTCCCATCTCAGAGTATCAATTCCTCGCGTGGGTTTCTGGTCGTCATTGTGGAGTAAACAGGAATAAATCCTCCGGCTTCCCAACAAGCATGTCGTAAGTATTGACTAATTGAGAGCGTGTGACAATGTATGCATCTGCCCTAGCGCCAAGGAACATCCAACTGCACACAAACAGACCAGTACAATCTATTAACATGCAAAACTTGGGTTCTGGCACGAGGCCAAAGTCCTAGTGGACAAACGGTCAGGACTTTCAGCCGAAACTAACAGCCAGTTAACAAAGAAGAAAAAGAAGTATCAGTGGTACTTCGCCAACTCACTCTGGTCAACTCTGAGTTACCATGGCAAATCTGTAGAATCTTGACTATCAATGCAGACTTTTCTTTCTTTCAGTAACGTCTTTGAATATCTACAAATATTGGGGATTATGTTTTGTATTATTTATATGGCTTCGTTGGATCACCATAGATTGTAATGTGTTTGCGTTATGAATATTGTAGTTAAATTGTAGTGCCGCTATTTCCCTTAGTCTCCCATTTTGCCATCGGCAAATACAGTATTGGTAAGCCAAATTCACCCTTTTACAAATCAGTTTCACCCTTTTCGGAAATCCAAATGATAAATTTGCACATGTGATTCACTTTTTTACACATCAAATTCACCCTTTTGCAGAACACGTTTTGATACAGAAATTTTTCTTATCTGACATAAAGAAAAGAAAATGGAACCAATTAAAGTTATCGTTGAAGCATTTTTGGGCTCGCAGTAACGTTAGTCTTCTCTTGGACGTAATCTTATCATCCTTTTGTGTGATGCAATTTTCGTTATTTGAAGCCCTACTCTGGCTTTTTCCAGGGCCCGCAATATAACCCGGCCATAAATTTGGTATAATGATTGAACGCGGTTTCTGGGACCTCTCCACGGGTGATCCTCATCCACATGGTGACACTTTGTGTAATCGGGTGTTTATCGCTTGTTTGATATCCTGGTGGGGTAACAGACGATAGATAGATAGTCTTCTCTTGGACGTACTCGTTTGTTCAATTCATTTACTCACCATTCTACCTTATATAGCATAGTCATTTAACGGCGTGGGGTAGCTAGCCCCGAACCCAACCCTTCTCCTTCCCCACCTGGGGTTTCTACCAGCAATGGCGGACATATGGGACACACGACGCCAGACTTAATTTATCACAACCAATTTGGCCCTCGATGGAGCAAAAATCACGCAGGCCACCTTTACAACCATGTATATGTTATTTCCTGGCATCAGTTTAAGGCTGCGTCGTTTTAGTGCCGACATCACATCAGTAAGGACATTCTCATTAGCGCTCTGTCCCTGTCTTCAGCAGCCAGAGCAGTTTCACCTTTGATGGCACCAGTATCAGTATGGTTGTCTGCCCGTCTTGTCTTTCCTCTACCTGTTAAGTATCAGCCAGATCCCCCGATCACTCACTGTTGCCAAGTTCTTTACATACTTGAATGTTCTATTTTTGCTTCTAAAAAAAAGGGGAACCTGGAAATCAAAGTCAGGTTTTGCCCTCTGGTGCAGACTTGAACCCAGAAATTTCGGTTAGATAAGTATAAACGTATACTATTATGCGCATGCCATAAAAAAAGTTGAATTTAAAAAAAAACAGTAAAAAGAAAAATACAAGATTAAACATATGTTGTACGAAAGCTTGACCTTTGAAAGGGTGAATTCGATTTGCAGAACTGAAAATTTGATTTGCAAAAGGGAGCATTTCATTTGCAAAAGAAGGTGCTTGATTCGCAGAAATTTGGCTTGCCTGTCTTCTATTAACAATTTCTATATGTGGGTTCCGGGACCTTACTATGGGGAAAACAAGAATATACTCACTGCCTCCACAACAAGCATGTCGTAAGAGTCGACTCATTGGGTGCTTCCTTCAAAGACGGAGTACATCTGTTTGATAGGCAAGGAACCAATAGACTACATACAAGTAAGTCAGATCTGTAAAACGAAAGTGCAAGCAACACTCAGGTTCTGAAGCACGATTAAAATCCGGAGGTGGACGAACAACCAGAATTTTCCGCCTGAGTTTACAGCCGTTGTAGGCGAAGAAGAAGATATTAATAATTGTCAGCTTCTGAGGCATAAAATTGTTTAAAACCAATTTTCTTTTATGTTCGGATCTTGTGGAAAGCCAATATTTACTTTTTCCCTTCTTGTTTGTAGTGTTTTAAGAACATTTCTTTTCTAGTTAGTTCCACGGCCTCATTGTGGGAGAGAGGGGGGGGGGGGGTGTAAATTACCATACATCTAGAATGTCAGTAAGTACAGAAAATGACCCTTTTCCTCGTCTGTATGTGTATTAGGCATATAGGGCTAGACCTATATTTTATATACTAATCGGCACTCGGTGGGCGATGTGATCAACCATCACGCTGGCAGCCTTGACTTCACAGGAATGTACTTGGTATTCATTTAAGACTGGGTCAACCTGTGAGCTAAGGACATTCTTCAAAAATATAAATCTGCTCCGTCAGGGCCTTAACCTATGACCTTCCGATACGTAGTCTAGCGCCTGAGCGCTACACAAGGAAAGCTCCCTTATCTGTAATGATGCATCAATTCATTTTGTCAAACCACTGTGTCTGCTGCTTAGGCTTTGCGAACGAGCTTCGTAATACCGGGGTGCCGGGTTCAATCCTAGCTGCGGGCCTTGCGCCTTACGTTGGTTTTGACAGTGGTATCGAGAAATCGACAGTCCAGAAAGCAATGGCAAACTAATGAACTTAAATTTGCTTAGAAAAACCACAACAGCCAAAAATGCTGGGGTTGGCTCTGCAATGTCATGTAAAGGATACACAACTAACTTTTAACTTACACATGGATAATTATTTCCTAGGTGCCTCCACTTACGTGCCGCTTGACAACCAGACCATCCAGTTTAACTTCACCACTTGGGACAACACACACGCGTAAGAGTGCATACATAACTAAGTTTGAAACTACGTTGGAGTAATACAACATGGACAACTAAGCAGGCATATTTTTAATTGTATCTATACAGAAATAAAATATATATCTCTCCAGAAATATTAACTTTATTTTCCTTTTTTCCTGTATTAAATAAGAAAATTAAATAAAGGTTTTGCCTTTCAGATTTGCACCTAGTAGGAATAAAATTTAAAGGACAAAAATTAACCAATCAATCAGGTACCGTCTCCACAGTTAAGGTTGGCTGCAATGGATCCCGAACACCCTCTGTCTATTGTCCTAATTGTACATTCTCTCAGAATGCTGCCCGTCCATCTCTTGATGTCGTCCTCCCACTTGTATCGTTGCCTACCTCTTTTGCTGTCTTGCCTTCGACCTTTCCCACCAGAATGGTTTTTAAAAGTGTTTTATGTTGTTCAATGTGGCCAAAGTAATTCAATTGTCTTTATTTTTTTTTTTTTTTTTTTTGGGTCTTTTTCAGCAATTTTATTTTTATTTTGTAGCTTTTCCGGAACATCTGTTTTGGACTGCTTTTGTCTTCCTAAAATACGACCTATTCTTTTGTATTCCCCCATTTCCAGAGAACAACTCGATTTTCTAGTTGCTTGTTCATTGTCCAAGTTTCTGCACTATATAGTAGCACAGAGTATACATAACATTTGACGATTCTCATTGTTAGTGTGTTGTTTATCTCTTGAGCTGTCAGTAACTTGCCCATCTTACTGAAGACAATTTTAGCCATTCCTATTCTCTTTTTGAGCTTTTTTTTTAAATCAATATCTGTGGTTGGGGGGATGTTGTTGTACTCTGTCAAAGGTAATCAATGAAACATGCATAAATACTTTTCTGGACTTCTATATATTTTCCAGTGAACATCTTTCAACAAATTATGGCTTCCCTAGTGTCACTGTTTTTCCTAAACCCAAACTGTTCCTCAGACACTTCATTATTTATTTTACTTTGAATTCTTTCTCGACTGATCTTGAGAAGTATTTGAGTTATATGCCTCATCAAACTAATTGTTCTATAACAGCGGTTCTCCACCTCCCTAACGCTCCAGCCTTTTATACAGCTCCTCATGTTGTGGTGACCCCCAGCCCTTTATACAGTTCCTCATGTTGTGGTGACCTCCAGCCCTTTATACAGTTCCTCATGTTGTGGTGACCCCCAGCCCTTTATACAGTTCCTCATATTGTGGTGACCCCCAGCCCTTTATACAGTTCCTCATGTTGTGATGACCCCCAGCCCTTTATACAGTTCCTCATGTTGTGGTGAACTCCAGCCCTTTATACAGTTCCTCATGTTGTGGTGACCCCCAGCCCTTTATACAGTTCCTCATGTTGTGGTGACCCCCAGCCCTTTATACAGTTCCTCATGTTGTGGTGACCTCCAGCCCTTTATACAGTTCCTCATGTTGTTGATTGATTGATTGACTTTCTACCCCACCAGGACATCACACAAGCGATAAACACCCGATGACACAAAGTGCCATCATGCGGATGAGGATCGCCGTGGAGAGGTCCCAGAAACCGCGTTTATACATTTAGCAATATATATGGCCTGCCTATATTGCGGCCCCTGGCAAAAGGGAGAGTAGGGCTTCAAATAACAAAAAATTACGTCCTGAGAAAGACGTAATTTGCAGTACAAGAGAAACCAGAGTGACAACGCTTCTCATGTTGTTGTGACCCCCAGCCCTTTATACAGTTCCTCATGGTATGGTGACCCCCCAACCCTTTATACAGTTCCTCATGTTGTGGTGACCCCCAGCTCTTTATACAGTTCCTCATGTTGTGGTGACCCCCAACTCTTTATACAGTTCCTCGTGTTGTGGTGATCCCCAGCCCTTTATACAGTTCCTCGTGTTGTGGTGACCCCCAGCCCTTTATACAGTTCCTCATGTTGTGGTGACCCCCAACTCTTTATACAGTTCCTCGTGTTGTGGTGATCCCCAGCCCTTTATACAGTTCCTCGTGTTGTGGTGATCCCCAGCCCTTTATACAGTTCCTCGTGTTGTGGTGATCCCCAGCCCTTTATACAGTTCCTCATGTTGTGGTGATCCCCAGCCCTTTATACAGTTCCTCGTGTTGTGGTGATCCCCAGCCCTTTATACAGTTCCTCATGTTGTGGTGATCCCCAGCCCTTTATACAGTTCCTCGTGTTGTGGTGATCCCCAGCCCTTTATACAGTTCCTCGTGTTGTGGTGATCCCCAGCCCTTTATACAGTTCCTCGTGTTGTGGTGATCCCCAGCCCTTTATACAGTTCCTCGTGTTGTGGTGATCCCCAGCCCTTTATACAGTTCCTCATGTTGTGGTGATCCCCAGCCCTTTATACAGTTCCTCGTGTTGTGGTGATCCCCAGCGAGAGAGAGAGAGAGAGAGAAGGAACCATCAAAATTTAATTTTTCAAGGATGACAAATTGAGCAGGCAGGCCCGTCTTTCATTCGGGCTTTTCAGGAACTCATCTTTCCTAAAAAATTGTATGTTTATCTACAAAGTATGTTATATTCATATAGCAAGATACACAGTTTGTGTGTTTAGGGTAAAACACACAAAAGCACCCTCATTCTCGCATACACACACCCATACATACACGTACTTAAACACACACACCACACACTGATACACACATTCACGCACACATGCCAAGATATAATGAGACATGTTTATTTCCAATGGGTGACTGATTGGGCACGCAGGCCAGTATTAGATACAGCCCATTCAAACAGTGTTTCACACAGCAGTTGTATTTTTATATCAAGCATAGTGTGTTTATTGAAATTTATGGTGTGAATGTAAAGTAAAAACACAAAAGCATTGATAAGGCTAGGGGGAGGGGGTATAGAAAGTGAAGGGGGATGAACAGAAAGAGAGAGAGAGAGAGAGAGAGAGAGAGAGAGAGAGAGAGAGAGAGAGAGAGAGAGAGAGCGGCTGAGAGATATAGAAACGCTGAAAGCGAAATATAGAACAACAGGAAAAAAGAACGCAGCAAACCAGAAGTGAAAAGGATCGGAGGACGATGGAGAGAAAAACATAAGAGACAGTATGAAATAGAAATCCTAGTCTCAAGTAGGATTTGAATTACTTCAATACACGGTCTACAATTCAGCCTATTAGCAACATCATGACAGGATTTTTCATTTATCTTCTGGAAAAAAAGTAATGCCACAGCAGAACATAAGGTAGGGTGTGTTATACCTTCACACTTTTTTCTGAGCCAGATTCTTAACATCCTCTACAATCTACCTGTATATTGAATCCGGGTCTTATGTTAACGACATGGTCTAATTGTTGTCAGAGAAGTTTCGATTCACCAGAATCGTTGTTAGACTTGTATGCGGACAAAGCTATGTTATGTTAATTTATGGAATATCTGTACATGTCAGCTAGTATTCGTAATCGTGTGGCAATAAAACGTGAAAATATAGCAGGTTAGATTTAGCGCTGTATGATTTTAACAAAAACACATTAAGTGCGCCAATGACGTTTACATCCGGGTTCATACTGGGTGTTTAATAATCGTAGAGAGAATATATAAAGATGGAGGAACTGATAGAGATATTAAAATAAGAATTAAAAAAAGGCAAGAGGGGCTTTCATAGCACTAGGGAATTTGTGGAGGTCAAAAGAAATTAATAGAAATACTAAACTAAAAATTTTTAATTCTAATGTCAAATCAGTACTATTGTATGGGGCGGAAACATGGAGAACAACCAAGGCAATTACTAATAAATTACAGACATTCATTAACTGGTGCCTGTGCAAAATAGAGGGAATAAAATGGTATAATAGAATAACTAATGGAGAACTTTGGGAGAGAACTAAACAGGCTACAGTGGATCGGGAAGTGAGGAAAAGACGCTGGCGTTGGATAGGGCACACACTGAGAAAACTGGAGAACAGCATAACTAGAATGTCTTTGCATTGGAACCCACAGGGGCATAGGAATAAAGGAAGGCCAAAAAACACATGGAGAAGAGAGCTGGAGAACGAGGTTAGAAAGATTGGGAGGACATGGGGAGAGCTCCATGCAATGGCGAAGGATAGAACGACTTGGCGTGAGTTGGTTGAGGGCCTATGCTCCATTGGGAGATAGAAAGGCAGAAGAAGAAGAAGAGAGAATAGAAGATCATCGTCACGTAACACTGCGTCTCGTTAGGTCACCAGTTTCTGTTGACTGTCTGATCAGCTCTCTCCACCTTTGGCGGTCAGTTGCCATAGACTTTATGGTTGAATGCGTGAGGCCTGTCCAAGTTAGGTTCTGTAGCCAGGTCTTTCTGGATCTCCCTCTTCTTCTCTTTTCCTCTATTGAGCCCTACAGTATTGTTTTTGATAGGTTGTTAGATCTTATTGCATGCGCATACCATTGCATTTTTCGACTTTTCACTGTAGTTAAAAGAGGTTCATAGTTGCCAAAGTGCTGTATCAATTGTATGACGAAATTCCTCCTGTGTAATGTGGTCTCTGTATGATATGCCAATAATTTGTCTGAAAGATCGATTGTCCAAAGCTTGTATCTTCCTTTCGAGTTCAGATAACTTGTGATAACTTGTAGTCAAAGTTTTAGGCAAACATGTGGACTATTGTGGCTTTATAAGCACACAGTCGTCTGGCTCATTCAGGGTTTTACCACCCTGACTATAACCGGTCATGGTCTTACCTACTGCTTCCGGAGCCGCAGGCAACACTTATGTTTAGCCAGACCCGCCTCTTTTCTTTTAAAGCCGGAATTGGGACCGGTATCAGCGGAGCTTAGAGTAAATAATAACCGTCTGAAGTTTTGATGATTAGTTTAAATTAGGCAAGTAAATGACTTGTTTCACTCCATCGGTGCGTCGAAAGAGGACGGGGGTGGCTGTGTGGTCACGAGGCATGGTGTCCACCTCGAGTGCTAGAGGTTCCGGGCTCAATCTTTCGAGTTCCAAAGCGATTTTTTCACATTGAAAAAAAAAAAAATGACAATAAATTGTTCCTGGTTCAACAAACTAGAATTTTTCAATGTTTTCCCTATAATGCAGTAATAAATGATAATCCTTTGTGAATAAAACCATATATAAATATATTTTTTTTTTTTAAGATTTACATACGTCGTATTTACTGTTTCTTGATAAAAACTGAAGCAGCTTTATTTAGAAATATATGAAAGATGGCGGATTTAGAGGGAATTGACTCGCCTTTCGTGTTAGCATCAGGATCTTTTCTGGTGTTTCAAATCGTTCAGCACTTGTTGGCCTCACTAGTTTGTGTTGACAGCCAGCACTACAAAGTGCTTTGAAGTTGGCAAACATTTAAATGTATATAAAATGTTTGATGAAGTTTTAAGTGAATAAGAAATCACACTTGTTAACTAGCGTTCTATCATGATGCCACCTCTGTTGAACTTATTCGGTTTTTAACCACATGGTGAAAAGTTTTTGGATTTAAGAAGTGCTGATCCTTTTAAATTTACTCTCTTACTCCCGTGAAGAAATATCGTCTGCAGTATCTTTCTTTTGCTGCTGATGAAGGAGCTGAAGCTCTTGCGGCTCAGCTCAGTAGCGTGATCATCCAATAACTGACGTCCTGTTCGTTGACTCCTAAAGCCACAGACTCACCAGGAGATTTTTTTTTTTATAAATAACCTATGGTCTCTTCAGGTCATCAACGTCTTTCTCCTTCATGTCAAAGATTTTTTCACTCTGGATTCATTGTCATTGAAGACACTTAACGCCACGCTTCCTCAATCATACTTGGACAATGAATTATATTTTAATAATATTTTTAGAATGCACTGAGGGTTAGTTCAGCATTAAAACATGTTGGAACATTTCCTTTGTGTACAATTTCTTGAAGTTCGAAATTTCTTGCTGGTCTATGAGCTGAATGAGTGGAGTGGTGTTAGGGGGTAAATTTTTTACATTGATAACGCTTAATTCGCCCACTAAAACCTGTATAAAGCCCCAGTGATTGCACAGAAGCATTATCCAGGACTAGTAGAGCTTTCAATGGAAGATTTTTCCAAAAAAAAAAAAAAAAACTTGAATGAAGGATAACATTCTGTATATATCTGGTCGTTGAATAATTGTCTTGTCACCCATGATTTTATATTTTATCGCATTATAAGTTCTCACGAAGGAGACCCGGATTCAAACCCCAGTAAAATGGTGGAGTTTTTCTGTAAGAGCCAAATTAGGGTATCTAAGCCTGCACAGTTCGTGGCAACAGCACTAGCCGTGCGGCTCTAAATCCCCAGGTTCACGAGTGAATCATGGGCAGCTGAATGTGTGGTTTTATAGAGGAATGATACAAATAAAATACCCTGGATAGATAAAAGGAGTAATGAAGATGTATTGAAAGAAACTGACTCACGAAGAGAACTGATTGCCCACATCAGAAAGAGACAATCTACATTCTTTGGTCTTGAGATGAAAAGAGAAAACTTGAGTACATCGTGACAGTGGGAAAGTTGGAGGGGAGGAGAGCTAGAGGAAGACCGAGAGAAAAGATGCTGGACAGTTTGACATCATGGCATGGATGATCATCTGTGTCAAAGTTGATTAAAAGTACAGAAGGTTGTGGATAGACATGACTACCAGCCCCACAAGACATGGATTTAGGAAGAAGACATAACTTTGTCGTTCCGTAATGCAGGTTTGCTTCAGTCGGCATGTGCATGATTTGAAATATATTACGTGTCCGGGCCCTAATTTCTCCTACCACTGCCGGAAATCCTGAACAGCGACGTTTTTCTCAAGCATGTGCTTCAGAAATACAACCTCAGTTCGGCGAAAATTATGAAACCTTACTAGCTTACCAGCCAAGAAGAGGCAAACCTTTTTACTTACACTGATACTTAATTTCGTTGTCTGTATTTCATCCTCGGAAACGACAACAACAAGGTTTGACATTCAAAGACTCAAAAAGGCATTATTCAGATAGTAATGCAACAGGGCAAGACCAAGTCACTCTTTTCAACCGTATAAAGCAGTTATAATGCAGCACCTAAGAGTTACGACGTAACAGTTAAGCTGTGTGGAAGGAGTTTGAATATAGTAGAGCCAAGATGTCTACGTTTAATTATCTTTCCTCTGTTACGAGCATCCGTTGACTGTAAACAATATTATGTTACATTATGTGTGGCGTTTGCGATAAGGATTTTCACATTACGGATGTTGTAATGACCCACTTCAACGCGTCACGACAATAAAAGGTAAGAGCCAATCCTGCTGGATGGTTCGGCCAAGGTCGCAACCATAACGTTGAGAGAATGTACATAGTGAAGACACTTTTCTGAAATATAAGGCGGAACATTTTAGCTAAGAAGACAGACAAGGAGACACATATACTAAGTGAGGTATGTTATTCTTGTCTTGAGTGAAATGCTGGTTTGATGTGTGGTCGTCCTTAGTGAAAAACATATATAGTGTGTGACGTTTCAAGTAACATTTCAATGATAAATAATTACTTTGCAATAAACATGTGAGTTTTTAATTGAAGAATCTTTAAAAGAATCTATAATACCCTTAGTAGCTTCTGAAAGTATTCCTCATTTTTTTCGTCTTCTTCTTCTTCGTCTTCTTCTTCTTCTTCTTCTTCTTCTTCTTCTTCTTCTTCTTCTTCTTCTTCTTCTTCTTCTTCTTCTTCTTCTTCTTCTTCTTCTTTTTCTTCTTCTTCTTCTTCTTCTTCTTCTTCTTCTTCTTCTTCTTCTTCTTCTTCTTCTTCTTCTTCTTCTTCTTCTTCTTCTTCTTCTTCTTCTTCTTCTTCTTTTTTTTTTCTACCTCCTTTTTCTTCTTCTCCCCCTCCCCCAAAAAAAGATCCCATGAAAGAGTTTATCTTGAAACACACCACTCACAAAAATACCCACAGAAAGAGAGAGAAAGCCAGATAAAGAGAGATACCACAAAATAATACATCTTAACACACACACATACACACATCGAGAGAGAGAGAGAGAGAGAGAGAGAGAGAGAGAGAGAGAGAGAGAGAAAGAGAGAGGGGAAGACAGCCCTTGACTGAGTTCATACTGGAACACACTAGAGCCAACACACAAACCCAGTGATTAACTTCAGCTTGAAACTATGCAGTCACTAAATTTATCCCCCAAAAAATCCGTTATTTACAAAAGAACACAATGTGGCTTTGCTTAGTTTCACTTTGATTTTTCTGGTTGCAGGGCTGATACATTTTAAATTCGTCAAAATCCTCTGTGCTTCCTGAATACGATGGCTGGAAATAGGATCCCAATGGTTCGTGTCTCTGTTTTGCTGGTTTTCCTGGCCATGTATTTATCCACTGGTGCTTCCAAACGAACACTTGCGTAAGTATTTTTTTTTTTTAAGATAACCGTAAAACCCCCCACCCCTCCTCCCTTCCCCCCCCCCCCCACCTCTTTGTGGGTTCTAGGACTTCAAGTTGTGGTAAGGTGCTAGTAGAATGCGCCAACTGTTCCCCTTGTAAGAGGAGGACTATTTGGGGTTATGCCGAGATCGGATGTTTTTAGCCGGAATCAGCAGATTGCAGCCTATTTGTAAACCACAGAAAAATATGATGAATGCTTCTTTAAGCGCGAACTTAGCAGTAAAAGAAGAAGAAGAAGAAGAAGAAGAAGAAGAAGAAGAAGAAGAAGAAGAAGAAGAAGAAGAAGAAGAAGAAGAAGAAGAAGAAGAAGAAGAAGAAGAAGAAGAAGAAGAAGAAGAAGAAGAAGAAGAAGAAGAAGAAGAAGAAGAAGAGAAGAAGAAGAAGAAGAAGAAGAAGAAGAAGAAGAAGAAGAAAAAAGAAGAAGAAAAAAGACGAAGAAGAAGAAGAAGAAGAAGAAGAAGAAGAAGAAGAAGAAGAAGAAGAAGAAGAAGAAGAAGAAGAAGAAGAAGAAGAAGAAGAAGAAGAAGAAGAAGAAGAAAGAAGAAGAAGAAGAAGAAGAAGAAGAAAGAAGAAGAAGAAGAAGAGAAGAAGAAGAAGAAGAAGAAGAAGAAGAAGAAGAAGAAGAAGAAGAAGAAGAAGAAGAAGAAGAAGAAGAAGAAGAAGAAGAAGAAGAAGAAGTTTTGCATCATTTATGTTTTGGAGCAGTTTGAGCACACATTAACATGGTATGAGAGAAACAAAAATATTCATTATTATCCTTCACTAAAGTCGGAGGTGCAGGGCCGAAAAACGAAGACCCGAAAAGTGTCACAACCGAACATTTATGTATTGCTGCCAGTTTCCGAAAATGAGAATGATGGGTGTGATGTTGAGCCTGTAGAACCCTACCACGCAGGGGCAGTACCGGACTCTCCCCCTTGAAGGAGCCCAAACCGGATTTCGTGTATTTCCTCTGCCTCGAGTAGCGGAGCCAGGAGAAAAGTGCGTAGAGAAAACACAACTGGCAAAAATCAAGGAAATGAATTATACTGACACAAACTGCACATTATTCGTTGAATTATTATGACATCATTCCCAATCTAGAAGAAGAAATTATTACACCAACACTAGTTGCCTCCAGCGAGTCATTCACAATAGAGGAGATTAAAACAGCTATTAAAAAATTAAGAATAAACAAAGCTACCGGAGAGGACAACATCTCAGGAGAAATGCTCAAAGCAGCGGATGAAAACACCCTGCAACATTTGCTCCAGCTGATGGATGACGTCTGGCAAAACGAATACCCACCACAACAATGGAAAGATGGTGTAATCTTCAAATTACCTAAAAAAGGCGATTTATCCGATTGTAACAACTGGAGAGGCATCAACCTGCTTTCGATACCAGGGAAACTATTTTGTAGTATGCTACTAGAAAGATTGAAAAAATCCATAGATGAAAGATTAAGGGAAGAACAAGCCGGTTTTAGATCCAAGCGGTCATGCATAGACCACATATTTACTCTTAGAATAATTGTTGAAGATTCTACAGAATTCCAGTCGAAATTATTGATCAACTTTGTCGACTTCCAAAAAGCCTTCGACAGTATCCATCGTCCAACACTCTGGAAATTGCTTAACATCTATGGTTTCCCCATCAAATATATTAACATCATAAAATCTTTTTATAATGAAACACGATGCTGTGTAAGAACTGAATCCGGCAATTCTGACTGGTTCCCGGTGGAAACAGGAGTGAAGCAAGGCTGTGTCCAATCGCCGATGCTTTTTGGTATAGCAATCGACTGGGTCATGCGCAAGTGCATAAATAACGCAAATTTAGGCATTACATGGGTTGACAAAATTCTAGAAGACCTAGACTTCGCCGACGACATAGCACTCCTGAGTTCAGAACACACAGACGCCCAAGAAAAAATCAATCGACTCCAGAATTTCTCAGAACAAATTGGACTCCAAATTAACACCGCAAAAACAAAAATTCTAGATCTTACCAACAGTTCAGTTGAAATCACGCTTAACAACAACAGCCTTGAAAAAGTCAACAGTTTCACTTATCTAGGGAGCAAGAAGTCATCTAAAGGAGATACCGCACCAGAAATACCATTTAGAATAGCACTGGCATCTAGTGCCTTCAATAAACTGTCCAACATCTGGAAATCAAAGACACTTAGCAAACACACAAAACTCAAGATCTTCAATTCTTGTGTGATTCCAGTACTAACCTATGGATGCGAGAGCTGGAAATCAACGAAAACTCTAGACACAAAATTAGACAATTTTGAAAATAAATGCCTTAGAAGAATACTAAATTTCAAATGGTCAGATTTCCGAACCAATACACAAATAAGGCAAGAATCCAGGCAAGAGTATGTGTCTAATTTTATACGAAAACGCCGCTGGAACTATGTCGGCCACGCCCTTAGAATGGATAAATCAAGACTTCCTTACCAAGCCCTCATTTGGACACCACAGGGGAAAAGATTTCGTGGAAGACCAAGGGAAACTCTACGTAGAACTATCATCAGGGAAGGCTCGCTCATGGGCCACTCAAACATCCAAGACCTACAACAGATTGCAACGAACCGCCATGCATGGAGTCATGACCTCTGCCCTATGTGCCGCACTCGACACAAGAGGAAAGACTAACTAACTAATTATGTTACCTGTCATCTCCAAACGCAGAGATGGAATGTAACGAAACGTGTGGTTGGAACGGACAGTTATACCAGCTGTTGTGATAAGGAGATTCTAAGATAATGAAACATGTAGCTGGACAGTAAAGATTTGCAGTAGCTTTTGTGTTAGGTAATATCATTTTACAAACAAAAACTAGCAACTGTAATGTAATAGGATAAAAACAGAAGGTACTGAAGCCGGGCAAATATTAGGAAGTAATATAAAACAATACAGAAGCTAATTGAAGACAAAAGAAAGAGGGGCTTTGATCAAAGCCTTTATCAACGTAAAAAAAATATTTGGAATAATAAACCACAACACATGAAAAAGAGATTGGCGAAAAGCAGTGTAATAAAGTGAGATCTAGAGCATGGAAAAAGCATGGGGCATTCATTGCAGTCAATTGTCATTGTCTTCTTCTTCTTCTGCCTTTCTATTCCCCAATGGAGCATAGGCCCTCAACCAACTAATGCCAAGTCGTTCTATCCTTCGCTATTGCATGGAGCTCTCCCCATGTCCTCCCCATCTTTCTAACTTCATTCTCCAGCTCTCTTCTCCATGTGTTTTTTGGCCTTCCTTTATTCCTATGCCCCTGTGGGTTCCAATGCAAAGTCATTCTAGTTATGCTGTTTTCTTAGTGTATGTCCCATCCAACGCCAGCGTCTTTTCCTAACCTCTTGGTCCACCGGAGCCTGTTTAGTTCTCTCCCCAAGTTCTACATTAGTTATTCTATCATACCATTTAATTCCCTCTATTCTGCGCAGGCACCTGTACAATATGTTAATCCTTATCTTTTCCTCGCTCAGCACCAATCCAAACCAATGCGCACTGGAGCTGCCTCACTGTAAGACTTACGGCAAACATATCAATGTGAAAATTATCGCCAGAAATGACTTGGTTGAGCCCAACTTTGAGGAAGAGGTGACCATTAGCAGTCAACCGCAGTCTCCCCTGATCTACTTCCTGGAGCAAGCCGCAGAGCTGAACGGTGCTTTCAAGTAAGTCATTGGGTCACACCTCTACCCCCCCCCCCCCCCGAATCCCTACCCCAACCAGATTTCAGATATAAATATCCTTTTGTGGATATTGTTTGTCGTTCGTCGAAGTTCCATCTTCGTTGCAGACGCCTCCTCTTCCCCCCCCCCCCCCCCCCAACCGCGATATTCTTGTGCTAGTGGAAATTCTTCAGAATATCCGCATTTGAAAAGCTTTTGATAAACATATCAGTCCTGGCAAAATGTTTAAGCTTGCACACGCAATTTAAATGCACAGGGCCTCTATCAGATGTGCTAATACTAATAGTCCACCACCACAATTGCAGCTCACTTTTGATGCAAGCAGATAATTAGGAAAGCCGACACTGCATAAGTAGACGCTATTGCAGACGTTAATTAATACTAAGTTTTATATATTTTCAAATTCTGCCTGCCTTATTATGTGAGTAAGGCCCCTCCCAACCCCTTTCCCCAACCAAGAAGGTTAGATCTCTCGGCCGCTGCTCCTGTATCAGGCGCGGCAATATATCCAACAGTTTCTATAGTTGTGTGAAATAGTTTTAAAAACCCACATTGTGAATCTTCGTCCTCTCCTCCTGCATTTCCTGCATGCACCCTTGCAAGTACGGTTGGCACATTGTTTTGTGGTTTATAGCTAGGCTGTATGCTTGTTAAAGACCCGTGGGTCTATTATCCCCCCCCCCCCACCCCACCAAATGGGACCCCAGAAATCACAAATGTGAACCGTTCATTATGTTACGTAATCTTGATTTCAATAATTTTGTCTCTGCTTGAAAACCTTGTCAACAGCGGGGGAATGGAGAGTGAAAAACAGTAACGAAATTCATAATTTGTTTAAATCACCACTGATAACTGGCATCATGAGAGGTAATAGACTGAAATAGTTGGGGCATATTGAAAGAATGTCAGATGACAGAGAAGTAAAAACTGTTGTATACACAAGGGAGATTAATGGTCGTAGACCACGAGGCAGACAAAGAAGAAGATAGAGAGATTATGTCCAGACAGACCTGCAAATACTTGGTGTCACCAACTGGAAAGAGAAGGCCAACCAGAGAGATGAATGGAGGCGGGTGATATCTGCAGCAATAACCTCAAGGGCTCGTAATGCTGAAGAAGAAAGATACGTGATAACCTGTTCGGGTGAAGATTTGTATACACTTTTTTTTATCGGCGACTGGGTCCCCCATTGGCTCGCCGGTAGACGACTTTAATCGCATCAACACTGCAGGAGTCCTTTTCAGGGTTCGTGGTGGCGTGGAGTGCTAAGCCATTTTACATGGCGCACATAACCTAGTCACAATTATAACCTTAAGCTGCCCGTTCGGGGTTGTTAGTTGAACGTGACGATTTTTTTTAAGCAAAGGAACGAAACCGAACAATTAAAAAACATCAAACACTTTGTGTGTGTAGGCTTCTGTGTGTCTGTGGGGCGGGAGTAGGTGTTCAGGGAAGGGAGCGGCGGGTAATAGGCCTATGTGTGTGTATGTGTTGTTATTTTTGTTGTTTTTAAAAATGTGAAAACCTCAGCATTGGCGCTGCTCACTCTTGCATACTTTGTAAAATAATGAACTTGTGACGCGTTAATTGTAACCTGGTAGGCAGGCCTGAAATCAGTTACGAGTTTGCTGAGTGAGACATCTCTACGTCTGCCAAAAATATGGGCGATGATTATTTACCATCGCGTCATGGTGGATGAGGTTGTCTTCCAATCCGGCAAATTTGTGGTCAGAATTCAACGTTGTGACCATCACAGGTTATCCCCCACCCCTTTCCCGATGTGGTCGCGCTTCAAGTCGTTTACATAGTATACTCCAACTTGTAATACACGATCATACAAGAACTGATCGGAAATCGTAGAAAAAAAGTAGAAAGGTAAGAGGACACATTAGGTAACATAAAAATCGAAAGCTGTAGTTGCCACTTCAGGAATGGAACCTGCCACCTCCAAGTGACTATAGTGTCTTGCTGCAAAAGCAAGTGTAATAATACGCATGGCCACGTCTCCAACTTGTGTTAGAAATATTACAAAGGCCAAATTCTGATTAGTTCCGGATTGGTTAATCCCGGCTAGTTATGGCTATATTACGTGAAATATCAGCTATATCCGGCTATGTGGAGTGGGGCATCTTGAAATTTTTACATCCTAATGTGCGTCTGTGCAGATGTTTTGTTGATAATTACCACAACATACCATTGAGTTCGCTCAAGCTTAAACGCAAAACAATTTATAAGTAGGACCCTTTTCCACGCCTTTAGGCGTATAGGCCATATAGGGCTAGACATATAAAACAATTTATAACCTAAACAAATTCCTTTAAATAAGATGTAAATTAAATAGCTGAAAGATTCAGGATTACGGGACGTTTTTCAGACAACGTTTAGAAAGGAAGTTGCGAGTTTCCAATCCAGACACATAGAACATGAAAGACGCGTTTCATGAATGAGCAAAGTAAAAGATTTGTAATGTATATATATATATATATATATATATATATATATATAATATATATATATATATATATATATATATATATATATATATATACATACATACATATAAAGAGAAAAAAATATTTCTTGCAAGGAGAGGGTTGAACAAGATAAACCCTGTCAGCTTAAGATTGGCATAACTTTAACTCCTGTCTTAAACATCTATTTCCTAAAGTGAAGCATATCTAGACTTGAAGAGGTTCAGATAATAAAACTATAGGACACTGAAGCACATGTATGCCATCTTTGAGGTCGAGATAGAATACAATATAACCAGCTTCTCATGGGAACTATTAGTAGAAGTAACTTGGAGTGGCTGCTGTTTCGGAGGACTAAGCACGTATGTGAATGTCTAATATGCAGTGATGTCGATTGTGATAACATTGCATAACATAACACAACTATAGGACACATGACAATTACAGGGAAACTTAGACAGAATGGGGTAATATTCACTCTAGTTTAGGGATAAGGAGATCAGAAGAAGAAAATACGATGTACGGAGTGCCCAGTAAACGCACAATGAGTTGCTTGGCACTGAAAGGGTTTCATGAAGTTTCGTAGAAACATATATAGGCGTTAAAAGAAAAATATATAATTAATTCAGGGTTATCAAAAGACAACAACATGGTAACAATGTTACTAGACTTTGTTTCTGTTAATGGTCGCAGAAACGTTCACGTGAATGAGGCCGTTGCTTAGTTTTTTAAAAAATATATATATAATTGGAATTTGACTGTGTATATTTGACTGTGCACTCCATTCGCTGTGTAATTTTGACTGTATATATTTAATGTGGTATATTTGAACTGTGTATATGTGACTGTGTATATGTGTAAAAAATGTGTGTATATTAACTGTGTATATTTGACTGTGTATATTTGACTGTGTATATTTGACTGTGTATATTTGACTGTGTATATTTGACTGTGTATATGGATGACCTGTGTATATAATGACTGTGTATATTTGATGTGACTTTGACTGTGTATATGATGACTGTGTATATTTGACTGTGGGTATATGATGACTGTGTATATGATGACTGTGTATATGATGACTGTGTATATGATGACTGTGTATATGATGACTGTGTATATACTGTGTATATGTGACTGTGTATATGTAATGATATGACTGTGTATATTTGACTGTGTATATGATGACTGTGTATATTGATGACTATGTACTGTGTATATGTAGTGTATATGATGACTGTGTATGATGACTGTGTATATGATGACTGTGTATATTTGACTGTGTATATGACTGTGTATATGTGACTGTGTATATTGTACTGTGTATATTTGACTGTGTATATTTGACTGTGTATATGTGTCTGTGTGTGACTGTGTATATTTGACTGTGTATATTTGACTGTGTATATGTGACTGTGTATATGTGACTGTGTATATGTGACTGTGTATATTTGACTGTGTATATGTGACTGTGTATATTTGACTGTGTATATGTGACTGTGTATATTTGACTGTGTATATGTGACTGTGTATATGTGACTGTGTATATGTGACTGTGTATATGTGACTGTGTATATGTGACTGTGTATATGTGACTGTGTATATGTGACTGTGTATATTTGACTGTGTATATGTGACTGTGTATATGTGACTGTGTATATGTGACTGTGTATATGTGACTGTGTATATGTGACTGTGTATATTTGACTGTGTATACCTGTAGGTATATGATGACTGTGTATATGATGACTGTGTAATTTGATGTGTATATTTGTAGTGTAATTTGACTGACTGTGTATAATGATGACTGTGTATATGTGACTGTGTATATGATGACCTGTGTATATTTGACTGTGTAGGTAATGTGACTTGTGTATATGTGACTGTGTATATGTGACTGTGTATAATGATGACTGTGTATATGATGACTGTGTATATATATGACTGTGTGTATATGTGATACTGTGGTGTATGATGTGACTGTGTATATTTGACTGTGTATATTTGACTGTGTATATGTGACTGTGTATATTTGACTGTGTATATTTGACTGTGTATATGTGACTGTGTATATGTGACTGTGTATATGTGACTGTGTATATTTGACTGTGTATATTTGACTGTGTATATGTGACTGTGTATATTTGACTGTGTATATGTGACTGTGTATATAATGATGTGTATATTTGACTGTGTATATGACTGTGTATATAATGACTGTGTATGATGACTGTGTAGGTAATGATGACTGTGTATATTTGACTGTGTAGGTATGATGACTGTGTATATGATGACTGTGTATATAATGTATGACTGTGTATATGTGACTGTGTATATAACTGTGTATATGTGACTGTGTACTGTGTGTGTATATGATGACTGTGTATATGTGACTGTGTATATGTTGACTGTGTATATTAGACTGTGTATATGATGACTGTGTATATGATGACTGTGTATATGTACTGTGATTTGACTGTGTATATGATGACTGTGTATATTTGACTGTGT